CAAAAAATCTGATTAGTCTGAAAGGTGTCCCCCTTTAATTAGAAATCGACGTGTCCGAGTTTTTTTAAAACATCTTATTGTTTATATTCAAAAACGGCTCTGTTAGGTTTTCGTTGTTACACACTGTATAAAAAAAACTCAGTCAAGATTAGGTTGTATCAAAAGTAGTGTTCTTTTTAATGTCATGGGTTTTTATAGCTCCATATCTCAGTTAATATGTATTTTAGTGTGTCGTAGTGTGTATACTTGATAGAGAAATTTGTACCCTAGTTCATTTTTCTCCAAATTGTAATTTTCTGTCACTTTTCAGCTTTCCACGACATCGCACCGTCTGAAAATTAAACGAATTCAGCGTCGAAGTTCTGCCTCACCCACCATTCTCTCCAGACCTTCCGCCACCTGATTACAATTTTTCAAGCACTCCGATATCTTTTTCACCGGTAGAACCTTTGCCAATCAGGATCAGGAAATTTGTATACTGACGGATTTATTAGACTTTAATAGAGATATTACCATTCGAAGTAGATCCAAAGAAACAGACAAAACTTTTGAAATAACCGAAGAACAGGCTTCGAAATGTTACAATTTCTATTGATCGTTCAAATCGTGAGGCAACCACTTTTTGAATTATAAACTTACCAGAACATTTATCAAATCTGAGACGGTACGAAGTTCACCGGGTACTTGATATTCATATACCTGAAGTTGAGTCATGATTACTTTCAACTGGTTGATTCAATTAATTGAAATTCGTAGTAATTTTTCAGAAAGATCCAAATGAAGAATGAAACTATCTATGATATTCTCACAATGTGAAGTGCCAAAAGTGCCTAAACCTTGAAATACACTACATGGCATTAACTTCAAAGAATAAGGATATTAAGAGTTTTCAGAGTTTACAGATTCGACAATTTCATCATGAATAATGAAACCAGCAATTCGGTACTTCATTGGGATTAAAATGAATTTTCGTGAGACCATTTGCAAATGAAGTCGGATTATATTTACCCTATAAAGGCACAGGTATTCAAGATAATTAATTTCAATCTATGTCGAGCTACTACAGCATAGTTTAATCATTCACGAATGAGGTTAGGTTAGGTTAGGCATCGTAATTCATCCCTACTGTAGTCCAACAACTGTTTGGTATCAAGTTTTGAAGGGTCAATAAACGTCTTGGAGTCCTGGAAGATTCTGCCAGTAGTCCATTAATCTTCTTGCCATCCAGGTTTAATGTTTGTATGGCAAAGCCTAAAGCGATGGTAATGACAGGTTCTGGCCCGATGAAGCTGCTTGCTGCACCCTTATTGGCAATTCACGAATGGAATGTCAATTTGGTATATATCTGAAAACACTATACAACTCAGTTCATTACTTCCGATAGAAAAATAATGCAGACACATCATTATTATATTCATTAAAAACAATAACATTGGTACCATATTAAGTAAATATGTGATGTTCTGTTGTTATACAAATTAATATATGGAGAAAGTTTCTGAATTAACGCCACACAAAACCAAGTTTTTTATATAGATATCATAACTACTTTTTGGGAAAGAAAGTTTTTGGCTTTCTACTATTCCATCTTGATACTATAAAAAAGGATGAAGGAATCTTCCAAAGAAAGGAAGGAAGTAACTCTATACATGGATGTGTAGATCATGCAAAGAAGTAACTTTCAGACACAAACTGAAAGAAAATCCTCCTGAAACAGCTACTTTCATATAAACATTGAATTACACGAAAGAAAAAAATTCTTTCGAAACAAATACTTCTATAT